AAGGGGAAATATGCATCAATCTGCACTCTATCAGTTCTCTGTCTGGAAATGGATAGAATGTTTCATCATCTGTCTTTTAGAATTGTGGTAGGTCATTGTGTTGCTCAGAGTTACTAAGTCTTTCATAGTTGATTGTCTTTACAACATTACTATTACTGTGTACATTATACTAGTGGCTCCACACATTTCACTTTGCATTAGTTCATGCAAGTTTTCATAGTTTTTTTTTTCAAAACCATCCCCTTCATCATTTCTTACAGCACTACTTTCATACACCATGATATATTCATTCATTCTCCAATTGGTGGACAACCCCTCAGCTTCCCATTCTTTGCCACCACTACTATAAATATTTTTATACATATGGGTCCCTTTCTTTCTTTGATCTCTTTGGGATATAGACCTAGTAGTAGTAGTAGTAGTAGTAGTAGTAGTAGTAGTAGTAGTAGTAGTAGTAGTAGTAGTATAGCTGAGTCAAAGGGTATGTACAGTTTAATAGCTTTTCGGGCATAGTTCCAAGTTGCTTTCCAGAATAATTGGACCAGTTCACAGCTCCACTAAAGTGCATTAGTGTACCTATTTTCCCACATCCCCTCCAGCATTTTTTCTTTTTCTTTTTTCTTTTGTCATCTTAGCCAATCTGATGGGTATAAGTTGTTATCTCAGAGTTTTAATTTGTACTTGTCTAGTTATTAGTGATTTAAAACATTTTTCATATACTGACGTCTTTCTTCCTCTGAAAACTATCTAGTTATATCCTTTGACCATTTATCAATTGGGGAATGGCTCTTGTTCTTAGAAATTTGGCTCAGTTCCTTACATATTTTAGAATTGAGGCCTTTATCAGAGAAACTTGCTGCAAAGATTATTTCCCTTGGGAAGGTTTGGCAGTGAGAGAGAAAGAATATTGTTAATGAATTAAATTTGTGATAGGATCAATTTCTCCCAGGGCTATCCCTCATCTTAACATACAAGTTAGGCTAGTTCTCGCCTTAAAAGGCAAGGAAGCTGTACTCAAGACCTGATTAGCCCATGGGGGCCTAAGGCTCAAGCAAGATGGCAATTGAAGCAACTTCCTGATGGCTTCAGTCCATGTCCTCATAGATCCTAGTCATCTTGGGGCACAGAGATGCTCACACACAGTTGGGGCCTTTCAGCCTTGGCAGATGTCCCAAAGTGGTGGGGGAAGGAGTCAACACATCCTGCCTAGCTGTCCAGATACTACCTAAGCTAAGTGCTACATCCGCGTTGAATATTGCTTCTATGCCATGGCTAAGTAAACCTTCTTTGGTTAACTGTTGAATGATCTATGAGTATCTTATTTCATCCCAATATCAGACCTAGACTACTAATGGACTGACTTAATCTGGCCCAGTCCACCATAAAAAAAAAAATCTAGAAGGAATTGCAAAAGAACGTTTTTAAGGACACAAGTAGATGAGGCAAGGAGAAGGTCATGTCCTTCTCTGAAATTTTGAGGAAGGAGAAGATGGGTAAAAATAAGAAAATATTTTGAGATATGGCAGAGGGTTGATGAGGGAGCTCATCTACATAATAGCCTCAATCTTTTTAGTTAAATAAGGTAGGAGGTAAGGTCATCTGCCAAACGAGGGGAGTAGAAGAGAATCGGGGGCTTGAGGAAAGGAGAAAATTTTTGAAACAGCTCTTATGGAGAATGTAAGCTCCCTGAGGGCAGGAATTGTTTAATTTTTTTTCTTTCTAGGCCCTACCACACTGCCTGGTATAAAAAAGGCACTCCTATCCTGGGGTGCCGTTGTTCTGACTGGGATCAAGATGGTATGGGGGAGAATGTGCCTAAAATGTTTAACTTTTCTTCTTGCCATATCATCTCAATAAATATCCATTTGTAAAAGCTTATTGATGTTAATTGGTTAAATGATACCAGGGTGCTAATCACTGGGTAAATCAGTGATATAAAGGAGAAACTAATTACAAATGGTGATTGATATTGGGAAGAATATACCAGAATGAAGACTAGAGCCAATAAAATTAGATGACACTCCACAGCCTCTCAGGATTACCCCTAGATGCTTGAAGTGAAGATGTACTAGTCAGGCTTGCTCTGGGGGACCCAACTTGTCAGTGCAAGTGGCAGTTAGGATAAGGACTTCCAGAGTTTGTAAAAGGGTTACATGCTGGGAAGGGTGAGCTCATACTTAAAGCATTTGCTACAAAGCATTTGCCCCATCAAGTTCACATCCAAATATGACATAGTCAAATAGATGGAGTTGATCCCATGCTGTTAATAGGACAAAGAGGCTTAGAACCAATCTACCAATTAGCTGGGTCAAGCAGGTTCCTCTTCACTACCTTCCTGATGCCTCACCTGGCTTGGCTGCTGGCAAACTAGAGTTCGGAATCCAGTTCCTGGAGCCCTGATGGTTTTCCCAACCTTTTGAAGCTCACTAATTTGAAACCTGAGACTGTTCCATCTCTAATACTGCTTCATCTAATAGCAGGGGGAAAAAAAAAGGCAAAGAACAGAAGGGGCATCCTGGCAGCTTGGGTGGGGAAATAGGCAGCCTATACCAGGAGGCTACGGCCACCATTGATACCATCTCTCTCCTCACCCAGAGGCTTACTTGGTTCTGGCTCATCAGGCAGCTGAAGATGCCTCTCTTTACAGTATGGCAAATGGGCAGAAAATATTCATAGAATATCTGTGCATGTTCATAAGGACTGGCTCCCATTGACCATTCTCCTGTTTGAGTCAATCAGAAAGGAATGGAAGGATTGTCATTAAATACACAAATAAGCTCTTCCAACAGAAATCAGCTTCTTGAATATGGGGACTATTCCTTTTTTTGTTTAATCTTTGTATCTCCAACACCAAATTCAGGTTGGGTTTTTTTTGTTGGTTTGTTTGCTTGTTTCTGCATATAGTAGACATTTAATAAGGTTTTTTTTAACTTCATGAAGCACTTTTTAAAAACATTTATTTTATTTTACTTTTTTGAAAGTAGACAAGCATTTCCTCTGTTCCACTCCCACTTCATTGAAAAACAAAACCTCTGTAACAAATATGTATAATCAAACAAAACAAATGCTTTCATTAGTCATGTCCAAAATATGAAGAATTTTATATAGTTCTTCTCAATTAATCTTCACAGCACCCTCGTGAAGGTAGGCTCACCAGATATTGAGTCCATTTGACAGATGAGGAAATTAATGTTCAGAAAATTAATTGGCTTAACCTTGGTCACACAACTAATGAGGATCATAGGCAGGATTTTAATTCAAGTTCTTCTTGACCCTGAGTCAAGCACACCATTTACTATATCATGCTGCCTTGTGCCTCTCTAGGGGACATAATATTTAAACAGATCTTTTTCCCTGACTCCACAATTTAGTCATGTGTGTGCCCTGTCTGGAGATAGAAAGGCTCTTCAGAAAGCTTGAAGATTTCCCTTTGGGCTGGGGTTTTCTTCATTGCTCCCACCCCCTAGCATGAATGAAGCCATGTTTGTAACCATCATGGTTGGCCGAAAGACAGAAGTCAATTTCACTGTCATTTGAGGTGTAGGTGGGTGGGTGAAACAGTTTCTCCATGGGCCATCTCATCCAATCCCCTACCCCTAGGCAATATTAAATCAATCCAGTGAGTAATTGTTAACCCAAGGGCCCAAGGGCTTCAATCTAGATAGGGGGCTTCAAGTCCCCACTGCAACTGGACTTCCTCTTTCTCTCCATTTCTGTTTTCTTTGTCAGTTGGTTGCTTTGTGTGTGTGTGTGTGTGTGTGTGTGTGTGTGTTTGCTTACCAATCTCCATGTTTGAGTTCCTACCTTGCTAACTATGCCTTTCTCTCCACTGTTCTCTCTGTTTCCGAGTGTTCATCTCAGAACTTTTCTCTGGGTTTTCCATTTCTTTGTCAATGTTCCCTTCTGTGAATAAAGTCAGAGATAAAACTAGCTTCTCTGTCTCCCTCTCTAACTCTCTGCCTCCCTCTGTGTATCTGTCTCTAGATCTGGGAGACTGTGGGAGTGGAAGTAAACACTAGGTGAAACTAGGGACTAAAGAGAGCCCCTGTCCCAACTGTGTCCCTCCCAACAGGCAGAAGGGAACTTTAGACACCAAGCAGAGTATGGAGAAATGTATAGCTTATGTAGATATATTCAAATGAGAATGCAAATGTAATGTTATGGTTGTATGAAGAGGGGGTGCATTGGACAGCTCTTGGGTGCCTGTGGGCATAGTGGGGGCCCCAGGAATGTCAGCCTGCCTGTTTGCCCCAGGAGACTGGGATGGGGAGACAGTGACAAGATACCTGACAGTAGAGGCCTGTCCCACACAGACATAGCTGGCATTGTCAGCCAGTTGGTGTTGGGACGTGGTTATTGTTGTTGTTTTTATCATTGTTTCTCGAGTTGATTGAGTGCCAACAATGCCCTAAGTGCCCTCAGAGCCCAACTGAGCTCCCAGGGTTTGAAGACTGAGCAGCCCCTAAGAGGAGAGGCAGGGATTAAGGGAAAGTGAAATTGCTTCCCGAGCAGTTGGGTCTCACAACCTCCAACATCTAGGGGCCAGGCCCTCAAGTGACCTTGAGAAGGATCAACACTGTTGGGAAAAGAGCTAAAGGAAAAGACCATGGAAGAGGGAAAAACAATGGATGAATTGATAGTGATAAGGGCATAGCACACAGGATGTAGTGCAGAAGAGGGAAGGTGAGAAAAAGATCAAGGAGATATGGAGATTCTATAGGGTTTATAGAAAGGCACATTAGGCTGTCAGAGGAGTCTTTGTGGTTTCAGAACCAAAACACCACCCTAAGAGGGAGATCTAGGAAACAGAGTGTGAGGGAACCTAGGATGTGGGAAAGAGTGATCAGCCTTGGAGACTGGAGGAACCAAGGGTGGGGTAGACAGCTGTCCAGATGTGTGTCCTCGATAACTCTGTTTACTGGGCATTGGGCTGAAGTGGGGCGGGGTAGGGGGTGGGGAAAAGGGGCACCCAGGGCCCATGGGCGGGCAGATTAGGAGGTGGGGGCATGAGTCAGGGGTTTGTGAGCTGCCCCAGGGTGCGGGACAGAAGGCCAGGTACTGTCAGAGAGGGTGTGAGATTCAGCTAGTCTGAACGGACACCTAGCACCCCAAGATCTCTCCAAGGAAACCTAGCCAGCAAAATAGCAGGTAAGCAAAGTGGGGAAGGAGGTGGGAAAGATAATGGGGTGGGGGTACCATGTCACCACTGGCCCCAAATGGTTCTGGGTCAGAATCCATGTCTTGGCATGACTGAATTGATCTCTAGCTAGCATAAGAATGCCCCTCCTGTTTGGGACCCCAAGGAGATATAGAGGAGACATCAAACCATCAACACCAATGATACCTCCATGCCTAGATATCTGCATGGATCTGAGATTGGGTGGTACTAGGGAGGGGGAAAATTAGAAGATAAGTATGCAGCATTGAAATTGTGGGGTGCATGTATAAGAAGAAGGGGTTGTAAGGACACTCCAAATTCACTATCTCCCCTCACCCTAGGGCAGGGCAATCATGCTTGAGACCTCATTCAATAGTCTCTCTGTCTCCAATAAGGATTCTGCCAGCGTGGTGGTCATGTCCCAACCCCTCTCTCCTCCAGTACTTCTCTCTCAAGGGAACACTAGTCCCCTCAATAGACTTTGGGGACCACAGATCACCTCCAGTCAGCTCCCATATGGCTGCTTCTGGGGGGTTAACTCTACTGTACTTGAAAAAGTCATCAGCTGGTGTTATCTCCATCCTTGGGCTCGTCTAGGGAGGGAGCCTGGAGTCCCTCACATCCCCTAAGAGAGAGAAGTTATGGAGGGAAAGGCTCCTCTTGGCAGCCCCAAGCATCAAGTCTCTTCATTCAGATAAACTGTAATGGAAATGAGTCAGTGAAATGGGATGAGGGTCTCAGCATGACCAAGTCTTGGGCTGGGATACTGGAGCATCCCTGAGTGTTCAAGGCAGGCTTCTCTGGAAAGAATCATCATAGAGTCATAACAGCATAGGTTTGGAACCAGAAGGAACCTTAGAAGCTATTCTCCTTATTTTATAAAGGAAGATGCTAAGGCCTATTGGAGGTAAGTGACTTACCCAAGGTCACACAGCTAGTATCCAAGACAGGATCTGAACTTTCCTGAGTCTAAGTTCATTACTTTATCCACTCTACTGGGAGCTCTTAAACTGGAGCCTACTAATTTTGCTTTTAAAAATTTTTGATAATTGCTTTTTAATATAATTGTTTCCTTTGCAATCTTATATTTATTGTATGCATTGAAAAACATTCTTCTGAGAAGAGATCCATAGCTTTCACCAGCTTGTCAAAGGAATCCAGGACACACAAAAAAGGTTAAGAACTCTCGTCATGACTTAGAGATGGAAGGGACATTAGAGATTATCTAATCCATCTCCCTACACTCCATTTTACAGATGAGGAAACTGAGGCCTAGATAGGTCAAGCAACTTGCCCAAGGTCCAAAAGGTAGTATGAGATTTGAACCCAGAGCCTATGACTCCAAATGTAGTGCTCTTTCAATTATGCCACACTGCCTCCCCTAGGAAAGGGGCTCCCTTGTCATACATCCCCTCCCCTTCATTATAGACACCTGCTAGATCACTTCCCACCATTGCCCAGAGAGGTAGACTGCTCAGTGTCAAAAGTCTTCCTGCCCTGAAAACCTCAGACTCATCCTCTTATCTGACTTGGCCCTGTGGGTTTGACTGTCTCAGTGCAGGGAGGTGGGGTAGGGGTATTGACAGGAATAGGGCAATGATAGGGGCTGGGAGGCAGCTTATCTTCCTAAGAGCAACAGCTGGGGCCCCATGGAGTGTGGCAGGATAGGGGAGATGCGGAGGAGAGAAATCTCATTCTAGAGGATGAAGGCAGCTTGGCTGAGCTCAAGCCCAGAGCTGGGGAGAAGTTTACCCTGTCCTCTCAGACTCACAGAATATCAGAGCTAGAAGGAATCTTCCTAATCATCTCATCCAACCAAGCCCCTCATATTAGAGATGAGGAAAGTAAGTCCCTAAGAAAGAAAGTACTCAGCTGCAAGTACAGTTAGAATTAGAATTCAAGTCTTCTTATCCCCTGTCCAGAAATCTTTCCACTCATCACAATGCTCTATTTTAGCTCAGAAAAAAAAATGCTGGTGTGTTATGGGTGAGAGGCAGAAGGACGGAGTAATGGGTGATCATTTACGGAGGGACAGTGCCACTCTGGGAAGTTTCTAATTTGGGGCCCAAGACCACGACAGGGAAAGATTGTCAGTGTAAAAGGGATGTACCCAGGAGTAATCAAGATCAGCATTGTTCAGGCCATCATCTCCACGTCCCGCGTCTGGATAGAAAAGCCTGGTTATGCCTCACTGGATAAGGGTTCTGCCACTCTACAAAAATAATTGCTAGCTTTTATAGATAGCACTTTAAGGCTTTCAGAATTACATATAATAGCTCATTTGATCTACACCGTAAACCTAAGAAGTGGGTACTATCCTCATTTTACACAAAGGGAAACTGAGGCTGAGAGAGAAAATGACTTACTTCGAGTGGATAGTATCTGAGGCTTAAGATTCAAGTTTAGGTCTTCCTGACTCCAAAGTTCAATACTCTTTCCACTGAGCTACCTCCAAACAAAAGACATTCAGTGGAAAGAACATTGGACTTGGGGTCAGGGGACATGGGTTTGACTCCCATTCAGAGGCTACATGACTTGAGTAAATCATTTCATCCCCTTAAGCCTCAGTGTCCTCCTCTGTAAAATGAGAATAACAGTTGGACTACCTACTTCACAAGGGTGTTGTGGGGAAAGTGCTTTGTTAATCAACCAGTAATTTTGTTGGCGGGTGGGGAGGTCAGGACCTGTAATTTCATCCGGGTGATGGAACTCCTGGGGTAGAAACTCATTCTAGTGATACAGGTCACCAACTCTCATCAACTCAGGATTTATTGACAACTGTCTGTAATTTATTCCACGGAGGCACCAAAAAGTTAAATGAGGTGCCCATACCCACATAGGTCTTATATGTGAGACAAGACTTGAACCCGGGTCTTCCTGACATCAAAGCGGGAAGGCTGGCTATCAACTCTCCCATGCTGCATGTCCCAATTGTAGATAAGTGTGAGTAATTGCTGTTATCACCCTCCCACCAGCCTTAGGAGATCAGTAGGGCAGGGTGGGGATTGTCTCTATATTACAGATTTGAAAAATGGGGCAGAGAAAGACCAAGTGACTTGCCAAAGGCCACACTGCACCCTTTGGAGGGGGCCCAGAGTCTCCCAGCCCTCTAGGTGACTAGTGATCTCTCTTCCCTTAGGCCCCCAGCAGGGGTGAACTAGACTGGTGGATGCCACTAGTTGGTCTGAAGTATAAGCAAAGGATGTAAAAATAGAAGGGGGAAGGAAGAGAAAAGAAGATGGAGAATGGGGAAAGGGAGATGATAGGAAAAGTAAAAGAACAAAAGAGAGGAAGAGATAGGGGGAAAAAAGAGAAGGAAAGAAGTTTGTGCTGTGATTCCCTGAGCTTTTTGGAAAAGTACAAACTGATGACCCAGGGGTTATGCAGGTCATTGCACAAATCTCCCTTCCGAGGATTCCCTAATGAGACAAGCCCCAAGGGGATCGACAAAACATAGCCCTTAAACCAGCTGTTTCTAGGATCTAGAACCTTTCTTAAGATCATCTTGTTCTTTGGGGGAGGCTTGATAAAGGGGAGAATGTATTATCAACGCTACTATCTCTTCTTCCCAATTCAGAGAGTAAGCTCCTCTTGAATTTTTGATTTGTTCATCACTTGCCCTGTACTGACACAGTCCTGAGCTTAGGTTTGATGTTGTCCCACCTCCATACTTTTACCTCCTAAGTTTGTACTCCAATAAGGAATATCCTTACCCAGATACTACCCAATCTTCAAGGTCCTGCTTGTTCCACATTCCCCAGGGAAATACAGCTCTCTCCCTCTGTTGTCCATTTGACACTTGGCTCCATACTGAACTTCTTATACTATTGTCTAGCTCATTCTTAAACATTTTTTTGTCAGTTTATGTCCTATTCTTCTAAAGAGACTGTAAGCTCTTTGTGGGCAGGAACTATATCTCCTACTTTATTTTCTCCATAGTACCCAGAACTAATGCCACACTCTTAATTTACATTTGATATATATTTGTGAATCAGATGCGAAATGGTCTAACTTTAATCAGTAATTTCAATCTGTTTCCTTTGATCCTGTCTTTGGGGTAACCAGAAAAAAATGAACTTTGTTGGCCCTGTTCTTTGCTGTTCTCCTCTGACCACATGATGCTATTTCCCCGAGCTGATATCTATTATCTGGTTTCTGGGGTTCTCTTATCCATCCTTCGGCATCCAAACAGAAGGGTTTCTTTTCAGATCAGTGCCCCTTCTCAGCTCCTCAGGAATGAGGATAGAAGAAACTGAGGTCTGGAACTTGGCAGAGTCAAACCCTGGACTCATTTTCTAGGTCTGGCTCAACCACTGATTTGCTATGAATTTGGACATCTCTTGTTTGTTAGTTTCCTCCTCTGTGAAATTAGGATTGTAAGGGGTTAGATGATCTAAAGTCCCTTCCATATAAGATACATAGGGAAAATAGAAGAGGAAGGGGATAAGAGAAGGGGGGAGGGGTGATAGAAGGGAGGGCAGATGGGGGGAAGGGGCAAATCAGAATGCAAATCATTCCCTCCAGGGAATGGGGTGGGGGAGGGGAGAGATGGGGAGAAAATTTGGAATTCAAAATTTTGTAGAAGTGAATGTTGAAAACTAAAAATAAATAAATTAATTAAAGTATCTTCCAACTCTGATGTTATATGGGTTGATGCCCATGGTGCATGGGCCCTAGAATAATGGCACCTGCTCCTACAGTCTCAGAACTCATGTGGTTACCCTCCAGGACCCCAATACCACGACACCCTCCTCCATCCTTAGGGAAATGGGAAATAGGCCTCTGTGAATACATGAGACTCATCCTTTCCAACTCCCACTCTACTACCTTTGACCCCAAGATCCCCCCAAACTCCTCTGTATGTATGCAGCTACTTTTTTGATCAAGGATAGGGGGAGAAAAGTAGAAAGATTTCTAGGGTCCCTTATCAATTGGAAGATGCTTCTATTTACCTTGAGACTATTTCCCTTAATAGGTACCCCTCGCACGGGGTATGCTGGGGCCGAAGCTGACGCTAGAGACTTGAACACCTAGAACCACACCATGGAGGTGGGTCCCTTCTACCTAACCATCTGTCCCCCCCCCGTCCTATGTCCCTAATAGGTTCAGAGGACCTTTGGCTGGGACCCCAGATTTCTATGGTGGGGATTGGGGGAAGGCACCAGAAAGGGAGTGATACTCACTACATTCCCCCAAACTCCCACTGGCAGATAAACGAATTGGTGTTGGAGGAGAGGCTGGAGATTGAGGGCTATGATGACCCTGGGGCCCCTCCTCCCCAGGAGATTGTGGAGGAACAAGCAGGTAAGTTACCCCTATGCTTGAATGTCTGACCTCCCTCCATCTCCTTCTACTGCTACTCACCGTCTGCTCCCTTCTGCTCAGTGCAACTCGATGCTATGGTAGCACCACATATGGGGAATGTGCTTCTCATCTCACCTCCTCCTTCCCCTGACCTTCAATGACCACTTCTCCCCCCCCAACCCCCAATTGAGATTGATTGAAGGGTAAACAGAACTTTGTTTGCAATGACCACAAGTGAGGGGGAAGGAGAACAGGGGGCTATTAGGGGGAGGGTCAGTCACCCGTGGGCTTTTAGGTGTGTGAGAGGGCAGCCCCAGGGATACAACACCCTCTTTCCTACCTAAGGTGAGCATGTGTGATAGCCTCACTAAGGGATTAAGGAATATGGATATGAGCCTATCTGCCATCTTTGCCTGTCCAGTGATGGTTTCCAACCTGTGCACTGAGACCTGCACCTGAGATTGAGAGCTAGGGAAGTCTAGCGTCTATCTCTTAGAGGCACCATCAGTGTGGGAGACTAGAAGGGAGGGAAAGGTTAGGGCAGTGTCTCCCTATATTCGTTGGAGGGAATGATTTGCCCTCCACTCTTTCCACACACACCCCCAGCCCTTGATGTGGGGAGAGCGGAAAGGGAAAATTGTCAAGGGCACAGAGATCCAGCATCCTCAACCACACCCTCTGCTTAGCCAAGGTTCCAAGTGGAGGGGGCAGGGCAGGTACCTGTTTACTGTCAATGAAACTTAAGTGCCAGAAATTTTTAGTAAAGACAAGGGGCCCCAGTAAGTAAGTGGGGTCCTTGGGCGGGGGGGAGAATGAGGACAGGATATAAGCAACTGGTCCTGTGGTTCCCAGAGCTTGGTGCAGAAGGTGGTAAGAGGCAGGTCTTGGGTTGAGTGAGGGGTAGGGTGGGGATAGGGGTCAAAAGGGTGGGAAATATGTGTGTTAGGAAGACAGCATCTGGTCAAATCCCAAGAAAGGGAGTAGGGGGTAAAGGTCACTCTGATAGTGACTATTCAGTGATCTCTAAGCACCTTAGATTACCTACCTCTCCAGTCCAAAATTGGAATCCAGGTACCCTGGTCTAAGAACTGGGCATCCCTGGTGGATGTCCCTCATAGATGTCAGCTTGGAAAATTGTTGGAACTTAAGTATTAGAGTAAGAAGGTATAATGACTGTCCTGGGTCCCCAAGCAAAAGTCCATCAGGTGAGTGTTGCGGTGGAGCAGTGGGTAAGGCCTTTTCTGAAGTCTTTGGTTGCTGGGCAGAGCAGTGAGTGAAGGATCCAGAGGGCATCCTCTAAGTGTAAGAGGGCTGGGACTCTGCTGGACTCGGTGAGCAAAATCCACCTATCTTTGTTGTCTTTAGATCACGAAGAGCAGCCGACAGCCGCAGACTACCAGACCACATCAGACCCAGGCACCCACGAGGTGAGCAGTCCCAGTCTGAGGGGCCTTCCCAGCCCCTTGTGAGGTAGGAGCTCCACACATTCTCTCCCCTATCGTGGGAAAGGAGGTGAGAGGTGAAGGAGGAGGGGGCAAGAACACCTACCCCAGAAAAGCAGAAAAATAAAAGAGGAATATGTGAGTGGAAGGGGAGAATGAGACACCAGAAATCTCCAGACAGGTATATGAGGAAAAGAATCAAGCAGAGAGGGAGAGAAGACCTCTCAGAGACATGGGGGAGAAGAGAGGGGAGGAGAGGAGAGGACAGGAGAGAGGAAGGAGAGGAAAGGAAAGAGAGGAGAGAAGAGAAAAGAGGGAGGGGGAGAGGCAGAGGGAGAGAGGAAACAAATGCACCACTCCTTTTCTCCTCTCCCTGTCCCAAGAGGTTGACAGAGGAAGAGAAGAAACCCCAGGGAATGGAGAACAGGTCCTGGTTTCCTAGGCCATGAAGCCCAGAACACCTTCAGGCATAGGAAGCTTCCACATTGCTTCTGATTAGGAACCAAGGGCTTCCTTCCTCAACCTGGCCAGAATCAAGCTATCTGTACTTCCGCAGCCCAGGACAGGAGTAGGCCAAGGCTAAGAGAATTTTGTCCCTTCTTTTTCCTTTCTAGCTTGGGGCAGATCACCCATTTGTTGTGATATTTGATCTTGTCCCAGTCACACCCAGTTGAGAAAGCTGGTTCTTAGTTTTGGACCCCAGCTCTGCTAGGTTCCCCCAACACTTACCTTGGGGTACCCAAGAAGGCAGTTCAAGGAAGGGAAGGGAGACACAGAGCTATTGTGTGCATGCGCGCGCGCGCGCACACACACACACACACACACACACACACACACACACACACGAGGATTGCATACATACATTTTCACTCTTGTTGGGTCCCAGTCACAGTTGGATGCATACACACATTCTACTGGCAGACTTGAACGTGGAGACAGGGGAATGAAGCCCCTGACCTCTTCTTACTCCTCCTTTTATTCCAGTCCTGATTTCCCCAACCTTAGGTCCTTTTTCTTCTACCCTTAGTTCTTTCTCTTCCTTCTACCGGGCTCCCTTACTTCTACCCAATATTATTCTTTTTTTTTTTAATTTAAATTCAATTTAATCACCCACTGCTTTTATTGATAACAACCTCAATACCCCTCTGGCTCAGGATAGGAAGATGATATGGGAAATCCTTTTTGCCACAAGGATATCTGATTACCTTCAATGGTGAGAGAAAGGGCCAGATTTGCTCCTTGATCAGGCAGCGACCTTGAGAGTAGGCAGATGAATAGAACTAGGGGTCCAGGATCCCTCCCCAAATATTTCTCCTACTGCATTCTTTCTTCGTCACCCAGTCCAGGTAACATGCCCCCTCCCCACTTCCAGCCTTCTCCTTAGACCTATATTTCTCATTTCTTTTTAATGCCCACGTTTCCTCATGCCTGCCCTTCCTAACTCTAGAACCCAGGTTACCTCCCATTTTCATTTACCCAGTCCCTACCATGAGCCCAGTCCCTGCCATGGCCCCATTGTTCTGCTCTCCCCAACCTGCCTACTACCCTGGGTCCCTATTAGGTCTATGTAGAGCTGCAGGAGCTGGTGATGGATGGGAAGAACCAGGAGCTTCGATGGATGGAGGCGGCACGTTGGGTTCGACTGGAGGAGAACCGGGCTGAGGCCGGGGGTTGGGGTCGCCCCCACCTTTCTTGCTTAACCTTCTGGAGCCTCCTGGAACTACAGAAAACTTTTAAAAAGGGTGAGTAGGGGTGCTGGGTTCCGATTCCACTTCCGTTGAGAACCCCTTCTTAGCCAGCTCTGCTAGAAATGCTGACTGCCCTTTTGCAAGGCCCATCAAGGTGGTGCTTTGTGATCTCCACAAAGGGATGTTGATGAGGAGATGGAAGCAGGGCCCATGTTTTCTTTTTGTTTATTTGTTTGTTTGTTTTAAGTATTCTTTTGTTGTTTTGAGTTCTAAATTCTCTTCCTCCCTCCAGTCCCCCCCTCCCCAATAAAAAAGGGTTATATGATACCCATAAGCATGTGAAGTCAGGGCAGGACTTTTCTTAACTCTTAAGTAGAGGGAAGAGAAACCCTGAAGAGAGCCCCTCTCAGTTTGATTAGTGTCCCTGTCCCCCACCCTGATCCTGCCATGCTGCTTCCTAGGCACTGTGATGCTGGACCTGTCTGAGACCACCCTGCCTGGGATTGTCAACCAGCTTCTAGACCAATTCATCTATGAAGGTCAAGTGAGGCCCCAGGACCGGGATGTGCTGCTCAGGGCCCTTCTGGTTAATCACAGGTAACCTTACCTCTCCCCACCACATATGTATTTACACATGCATCTTCCTAGCACTTGGACCCTGATCTGTAACTAGAGTGAATCCATCAGAGCTCTGCCCCAGGATGGAAAATAAGGGTCCTGATAGCACCCTCAAGGGACATTTTTCTCAACCCCAGCTCCTCTCTTGCTTACCCAGCCCCTGGTGGAAACCTCAATCTGGAGAACACTTCCTCCTGTTTCTGGCACAGAAATTTTATTTTATTTTTCGTTTGTTTGTTTGTTTGGAGGCAATTGAGGTTAAGTGACTTGCCCAGGGTCACATAGCTAGTAAGTGTCCAAGGCCCGATTTGAATTCAGGTCCTCCTAACTCCAGGGCCAGTGCTCTATCCACTGCACTATCTAGCTACCCCAAGCATGGAAATTTTAGAGGGTGGATACAACACCATCCAGAACTTTCTCTAGAGTTAGCTGACCGTAAGGAGGTCCAGGACCTGAAAAGGTTATTCATCCATCTCTCTGCCTCCAGGCAGTACTGTCTCCAGCATTTCTGACAGAACACTATCTACCAAGATCCTCAAACTTGATGGAGTAGGAATCTGTGCCCCCTCTCAAATCATAGGCTTTAGAGCTGCAGGGGACCTCAGAGGTCATATAGTTACACTCATATCCACCCTCATTTTATAGAGGAAGAAGCTAAAGTCCAGAGAGATGGACTTGCCCCAGTAAGTTATAAATAGAAGAGCAAGGATTTGAACCCAGATTTTCTGATGCTTCTAATTCTCTTTCCACTGCACCAAATGCACTACTCTGATTTGACCACCAGGATATCCTACCCCAGGGTAGCCACTACAAAGCCTCTTAACGCAGTGCCTGGAGTAGAGTATGTACTTAATAAATGCTTTTATCATTCAACCCTTCATTCATTCTTTCACTCATTCATTTATTGTGGAAACCTTAGGGAATAGCTCACTTGTCCCTTGGTCCCCATTTAGCTCCTGACCCCTCTTTGTCTTCCTTAGCCATGAGGGAGAGTTGGAGGCTCTGGGAGGTGTGAAGCCCACGGTGTTAAACCGCTCAGGAGAGCCCTCTGAGCCCCTGCTGGCCCAACATCCCTCTTTGGAGAACCAGATCTACTGTGAGCAGGTATGGCTGGGGAGAGGGCCAACAGGAAGAATTGGAGGCCCAAGGAGGCCAGAGGGTCCTGGGGCCTAAGAGGTTAGCAGAGTTTGAGCTGGAAGGGATAGAGGAAAAAGAAATACTTTGGGGAGAGACTAGAAGTTCAGATTTCTTGGGTCCAGGGTATCCAGGTGACACACCAATCTGGGGAAGGTGAGGTAGTGAGGAGGCCTAGAGGGATAAGATGGTGACTATAGCTCAGAGCCCCCCATCATCATCCTTTCCCTCTTGGTAGGGAGAGGGTTCCTCAGACCACCCAGGGCCATCTCACATCCTGGAGAAGATCCCTCCTGACTCAGAGGCCACACTGGTATTAGTGGGTGAGTTCTTTGTACCTCCTCCCAGATTCCTTGCCCCTATCCTGGCCCCAACCCAGGCCCCATATCCAGCCATTTTCTCTCTGCCAGCTATGCATCATTGGATTTCCTATTTCTTCTTCTTACCTCCTCCCCATTGCCTTCTTCTCTCCTTCTCACAAGCCCTCCTCTGTTCCTAAACCCCACCCCAGCCCCGCCATTGCTGCCTCACCTGGCTTCCTAACGCCTCCTCTCCTCTCATCCCTCAGGTCGTGCCTCCTTCCTGGAACATCCCATCCTGGGTTTTGTGAGGCTTCGGGAGGCGGCCAGGCTGGAAGCGGTGGACCTTCCAGTGCCTGTCCGCTTCCTCCTGGTGCTCTTAGGGCCTGAGACCCCTCACGTGGACTACACCCAACTTGGCCGGGCTGCTGCCACCTTAATGTCTGAGAGGGTAGGTGTGCATTCCTAGAGAACATGAGAAGGGGCTGGTGGGAGAGCTAGGCATAATCATTAGCCTGACTGGCCTTATTAATCCAGTCTTTCCAAGTTTGATCTAGTTTAACCAAAACTGACCTATTCAATGCAGTTTAGTCTATTTCAGTCTATTTTGGTTTCATTTGACCTGGCCTGGTTCGTTCTGCTTTGACCTGGTTCAAATATTGTTGTCATTGTTCGGTTATTTCCGCTGTGCCAACTCTTCAGGACCCCCTCTGGGAGTTTCTTGGCAAAGATACTACAGTGGTTTGCCATTTCCTTCTCCAGCTCATTTTTTTGTAGGGAGGAAACTGAGGCAAATAGGGTTAAGGGACTTGCCCAGGGTCACACAGCTAAGTAAGTGTCTGAAGCCATATTTGAACTCAGGAAGATGAGTCTTCCCGACTCCAGGCTCAGAACTCTATCCACTGCAGCACCCTACACATATATATTAAGTCCCTACTATGTCAGGCACTGTGCCAAGTCCTGGAGATACAGAGACAAAGATGAAATGGTCCGTGTCCCCAAGAAGTTTATACTCTATGAGGGAGGCATCACGTACGCATATAGGTACACGTGAAATAAGTATGTGCAAAGGTGATGGGGTAAAGAGGAATCAGGGAAAGGCCTTATGTAGCAGGTGGGCTTGGAGCTGATTTTTGAATGCAGCTCCGGATCAAGGTGAGAAGTGTATCCATTCCAGGCGCGGAAGACAGACACAGTATAGCCTGGTTTGGCCCAGTTTGACTTGGTTCAGCCCAGATTGGTGCGGTTTAGACTGGTTTGGCCCAGTGTGTTTTGATCTGGCCTGTTCTGGCCCACTTCAGTCTGGTTTGGATTAGATCAGCTTGGTTCAGTTGGTTTTAACCCCAGCCTTCTGATTTAACTTAGTCCAGTCTTCTTCAACCTTTCTTGCTCCTTCTACTATCCCCTTTGGTCCTGAAATGAGGCCCTTGCAGGGGCGGGGAGGGCAGGATGTGGAGGGGAATGGAAAGACCCTTCAATTTGGTGTCACTGAGCCTGAAATGGAATCCCAGCTTCGCTTTTTTTTTGGGGGGGGTGAGGCAATCAGGGTTAAGTGACTTGCCCAGGGTCACACAGCTACTAGGGTCAGATTTGAACTCAGGCAAGAACTCTATCCACTAAGCCACCTAGCTGCCCCCCAGCTCCACTATTTACTAGCTGTGTGAACCTAGACAAATCATAGCCACTCTAGGCCTTCCTTATCTTTTTAGTTTAGTTTTTTAATTTATTTTATTTTCAATTCAGGAAACAAAACAAGCATTTCCATAACATAGTACAAATAAAAAAAGATGATTGCCCATGAAACTGCAAATCTACTGTGTACAACTTGCTATTCCCTCCAAATATGCCATAGTTATCATGTAAATTTCCCTTTTTTCCTTTTTTTCTTTCCTTCTCCTTACCTCTGCCCTAGAGATAGCTACCATAGTACACAAATAAGCATATGTATGTAAAATTATTCTATACATACTTCTATTTATCAGTTCTTTCTCTGGATGTGAATAGCATCTCTTTATATGTCCATAATTTTCCCCTCTCTGGTTCTTCTTTATCTAGAAAGTGAGCTTAGACCAGATGACCTTTAAGACCCCATCCAGCTCCAGATATATGAGCCTATAAATTTGGGGAAAAGCCTGCTCTTAGGGGTGGGGATGGAGCTAACTCAAAAGGTTCTGAGTTACCAGAAGCTTAGGAATTGAGACTGCTTGGCCCCAGTGGGGGTCTATGCCATATTCACCCCTCTTCCTTTCCTCCCCAGGTGTTCCGAATGGACGCCTACCTAGCCCATGACCGCAAGGAGCTAGTTCAGTCTCTTGAGGGTTTCTTGGACTGTAGTGTGGTACTGCCTCCCACGGATGCACCCTCAGAGTCAGCCTTGCGCACCCTGGTACCCATGCAGCAAGAATTGCTTCGAAGACGCTACCAGCTCAGCCCCTCTAAACCTGATCCTGACTTCTACAAGGGATTAGGTAGGCACTGTGAGATCGTATCCACACTCCTAGCTTCACCCTTCAATGTCTCCCCTAAATACCGCTGTCCTTCTGCCCCTCAATTGATGGAGTCAAGAATACTGACTTTGGGATCAGAGAACTCAAGATTGAGATCTTGACTTGACCACTAATTCTCTGTGTGACCTAGGGCAAATCATTTCCCCTCTGTTCCAGCTAAATATTCTTCCTCTGTAAAATGTGGGGTTTGGGTAGGAGCTTCTAAATCCTATGAACCTCGCTCCCCACTCTTCATTTTCCTCCTTCTCTCCAGGGCCCCCCTACATCCTGCTAGATAACTCATTCTACAGTTTCCTGCTCTCTTCAGCCCTTGGACCTCTCTTCTTACCCCCAGACAACTCCATCACCTTAGCCACTTCCAACCCTGCCCTGCCCCATCTCCCCTCCAGGGAGCTAGAGGAGGAAGAGTGGGGGCCTGAAGTAGGGAGAGAGAGGTGTCTCTGAATGAAGTTCTCTCTCCCTTCTCCCTTCAGACTTGAATGGGGCTCCAGTGGGCCAGGATGACCCCTTACAGAGGACAGGCCACCTCTTTGGGGGTGTGGCTCGGGACGCTCGGCGCCGGTACCCCAAGTACCTGAGTGACATCACAGATGCACTTAGCCCTCAGGTCCTCGCGGCTGTGGTCTTCATCTACTTCGCTGCCCTCTCTCACCAGCCATCACCTTTGGTGGCCTCCTAGGTCAGTGCCACCCATCCTCGGTCTTCCTACATCCAGAGGTCCTCTCTAACAACACTACCATCAGGGCTCAGAGCCATGGCCCTGACCTCTGACTTATTCCTAGCAACTCTGGGCCTCTTGAACTGCTGGCCTCGTCCCAGCTTTTACTTCTGTCTGACTTCTGATTTTGCCCCTCAGGGGACAAGACTCAGAACCTGATGGGGGTGTCAGAACTACTCATCTCAACAGCAGTACAGGGCATCCTCTTTGCCCTGCTGGGTGCCCAACCTCTGCTTGTGCTTGGCTTCTCAGGACCCCTGCTTGTTTTTGAAGAGGCCTTCTTTGGGGTAAGAATGCACTTTCCCCATGACCTTGCCCCATCCCCTTTCCTGCACCTATGAATCACCCCTCATCCCTCCATGATGGAGCCTATTCTTTTCAACCTGACTCCACATGGACCCTCAGCTCTTCTTCCCCCAATGCTCCCACTCATCTCTCTGCTTCCCCTTCCCCATTTCACCCCATTCCATCCGACTCATTTCTGTGCCTCTACCCCACAGTTCTGTGAAAGCAACAACTTCGAATACATCGTGGGCCGGGTGTGGATTGGCTTCTGGCTGGTGCTGCTGGTGGTCCTGGTAGTGGCCTTTGAGGGAAGCTTCCTGGTGCGCTACATCTCTCGCTATACCCAGGAAATCTTCTCCATCCTCATCTCTCTCATCTTCATCTATGAGACCTTCTCCAAACTTATCATGGTCAGGGCACTCTGTGTGTGTGTGTGTGTGTGTGTGTGTGTGTGTGTGTGTGTGTCACTGTGGCCTGCTTACATGGCTGTCTTTGCACCAACCTTGGGATGCCACATGCCCCTGGATGAGGTGTGGCCAGTGGCTGAGCACATTGTGTGTGTGCCTTCCAGCCTCTTGTCCTTAGATGGGCAAGTATCTACCTTTAGACTAAAACCACCCATGCTCCCGCTCAAATCTCACCTTCAGGAATCCTATTGGCATCATCTCCTCTGAGATGACCTCCCATTTATACTGTATAGATCTTATATGTACACAGTTTACATATATAGTCTCTCCCGTTAGAATGTGAGCTCCCTGAGGGCAGGGGCCAAGTTTTTGTCTTTCCTTGTATCCCTAATGCTTATTTTAACGCCTGGCACACAGTAATGTTTGTTGACTGTTTTTTGGTGTTCAGTTACGTTTTGACTCTTCATGACCCCAGACCATAGCACACCAGGCCCTTCTATGCTCCACTATCTCTCAAAGCCTGCCTAAATCTATATTCATTGTTTCCATGACACCATCTACCCATCTCATCCTTTACCATCCTCTTTTCCTTTTGCCTTCAATCTTTCCCAGCGTCGGGGTCTTTTTCCAGTGAGTCCTGTCTTCTCACTATGTGGCCAAAGTATTTAAGCTTCATCTTCAGTATTTGACCTTCCCATGAATAGCCTTTATCTATATGTATTGATGGATTTGATCTCCTTGCGCCCAAAGAACTCTCAGTGTAGATACCAGCAAAAGCCTAGGGCTTGGGGTGGGGGTTGGGAGTATTTTCGAGGGTTTTAAGCCACTGCCTTCCTTTACTGTGTTTTCCTCCTCTCCTGTTTTCTTTGCTCATCTCGATTAGGATTGTGACATAGGGAGTGTCTGTGTGTCTCTATCTCTACTTCCCAGTTTGCTGTCTGGAGAATGGGGCTAGATGTCAAGGTGTCTCTGCTGCTGTCTGAATACTTCTTTTGAGTGGGGTGGACTCTTTCTGTTGCCCAGTCTTCTCTGAATTTCATCTCTCAACTTGCCACATCCCCCATCTTTCATCTTCACAGGCTTTCACCCTCCCTAGCCCACTCCCCACAACTTAACGATGAGGGGGAGGGAAGGTGGGAACCAGGATGCCCCCAGCCATATCCTCCCCCTCCCTAAAACTGAGCTGTGAAATCAGGAGACCCACTCTGTTACCATGGTGACCAAAGGAGGGAAGGAGGGATGGATGTGGGGAGAGGGGCTGGGCAAAGAGGGCCTGGAAGGAACCCAGGGCAGGCCTGGAAGCTGAAGGGGGAGAGGGAGGGGGAGAAGATACTCTGAGCTGAGGCCCTCCCTTTTTCTTTTCCTACCTCACTCTAGATTTTCCAAGAACACCCACTGAAGAGAGACTATACCTACAATGTGAGCTGGGTCCCCAAGCCCAGGGAGGCCCTGCCCAACACCGCCCTCCTCTCCCTCGTGCTCATGGCTGGGACATTTTATTCTGCCATCACATTTCGCAAGTTCAAGAACAGCTCTTACTTCCCTGGAAAGGTCTGCCCCTGACCCAGCCCCCTCACCATCTGCCAGCTGTCATCTCCTCCCTAAAGCTCCCCTCCTGCTCTCCTCTCTACCTTAACTAGATTTGTTCCTCCGTTTCTATCACCTTCCCTGCTTTGCTTCTTATTCTCCCATCCTCTCCACTATCACCCCCATTGCAGCCCACCTGGCTCCCCCTGCCCTTACCCTCACCCCTCTGGAGCCCCATAGCCTTCAGATCTGGCTTACCACTCCTGGGCTTTCTAGGCCTCCAGAGCCAGGAGAGGGGCAAAAGGCAGAGAATCTTAGAAAAGGAAAAATACCTTTGTGCAGGGAGAAAGGGTTGAGGCTTCTGTTGGGAAAGGGAGAGGGAGGGTGTGAAGGGCTGTCTGAATCCCCAGAAATAGCAGGAACCTATAGAAACAGCTGATCAACAGGAAATAGGGGAAGGGGGGGAGAGAGAGAGAGAAGAGAGAGAGAGAGAGAGAGAGAGAGAGAGAGACAGAGACAGAGAGAGAGAGAGAGAGAGAGAGAGAGAGAGAGAGAGAGAGATGAAGAGAGAGAGAGAGAGATGAAGAGAGAGAGGGAGGGAGAGAGAGAAAAAGAGGGGGGAGAAAGGGAAGGAAGGAGGGAGGTAAAGAGAGAGAGAGGAGAGAAGAAAAGAGAAAGAGAGAGTGAACCCCACAAAGACATGAAATGGGGGAAAATAGGGTCTCTGGGCCTGGAGGGGCTGAATTCTGACAGTCTGTCTATCCATCTACCCCCATAGCTACGCAGAGTAATTGGAGACTTTGGTGTTCCCATTTCCATCTTCCTTATGGTCGTGGTAGATATATTCATTAAAGACACCTATACCCAGGTGAGCCCTTTTCCCCAACATCCCCCCAAATGCTCCCCAAGACTTTATTTTCTTCAGTTGTCCCTCACCAAGCCTCTCTTCATTTTACTAGAGTTTGATGACTCTTCATCAGATACCCCACCACAAACTATACCCCTTCTGCCTCTTCCAACTCCCCAGAATTCCCCCAGGATTCCTCAGTCCCATCCCCCCAATACACACCCTTTTTGCTGGATTTCCTCTCTTGACCCAGCACCTCCCCTGCCCATTCCCTATACCTCAGTCCCCTCAATATCTCCTACAGCCTCCTTCTTAACACCCCCAATAGTGTAGCCCCTGGGCTTTTTTTTGCCCAAGGACTCCCACCTGCTTTGTGGATGCCCAAGGCCTGATTTCTCTTCCCCCTCCAAAGATGCCAACTTCCTATCCCCTTTCAGCTGTAGAGAGCTGAATTCCACAATCTCAGCGGTCATGATTTCCCTCTTTCCCTCTTCCCACAGAAACTCAAAGTGCCCAAAGGCTTTTCAATCTCTAATGAAACTGCCAGAGACTGGTTCATCCACCCCCTGGGCTTGTACAAGATTTTCCCCCTCTGGATGATGTTTGCTTCTGCTGTGCCAGCTCTGCTTGTCTTCATCCTCATCTTCCTGGAGACACAGATCACCACGTATGAGCAGGAGCCAGGGGCAGGGGGCTGGGGTTGAGATAGGAACTAGGAGCTAGGGGCTGGGGTAGGGACAAGAGGCTGAGGCAGGAGCCATGACCTAGGTCTAGGGGCTAGGGTCAGAGGCTGGCTCAGAGGCAGGATTGGGTCAGGAGTTAGGGGTGGGACAAGGGTTGGCCTATAGCAGGGAAGCTAGGGAAGAAAGGGTGACAAATGACAGAGCGAAAGTGAGAGAAAACAGAAGAATGATGGAGTCTTAAGAAACCTGGACAGGGGCAGCTAGGTGGCGCAGTGGATAGAGCACTGGCCCTAAAGTCAGGAGGACTTGAGTTCAAATCCAGCCTCAGACCAAACATTTCACATTTACTAGCTGTGTGACCCTGGGCAAGTCACTTAACTCCAATTGCCATTAAAAATAAAGCCTAAGCTCTGCCATTAACTTGATATTATAGGACATGGACAAAACATTTTTCTTGCATAGGTCATTTAACTTTACTGCTCCTCCATTTCCTCAACTGTAAAATGAGGGAGAAATGGACTAGATAGCCTAAGAGTGTAAGGTCCTTTCCATTTTAGGAGCTATGAGAATAACAATAATAGCTAACATTTTTACAGCATTTTAAGGCTTTCAAAAATACTTCACACATATCATCTCATTTGATTCTCAAGACAGCCTAGGAGGTAGTGCTATTATTATGCCCATTTTACAGAAGAGGAAACTGAGGTTAAGTGATTTGCCTAGAATCACAAAGCAAGGTAATGAGTACATGAGATTAGATTCAACTGAGGTCTTCTCGACTCTAGTGTGCCATCTAGTGGCCCCTAATCCTATCATGCTTCAATCTTCCCCTCTGTAAAATGCAGACATGGGCGCTTCTTGACAGAGTGGTGATGGCTTGAAAGGGAAGAATGAGACACATATTTTTGGACAGGGCCAATGCAGGACTTTGTCTCATTTGACTATGCATATCTGTTACCAGGATTTTGGTTTTCGTTTTCTTTTTCCCCTGGGTGAGGAAGGCGAAAGAGAGAAAAATATATATTTTTGTTAATTGAAAAAATGAAATTAATGTTTTTTTCTTTTTAATGAAGGGATTAGACTGTGACCATTAGAGGTGATCTCTAAGGCCTTGACTCTGTTTGGTTCTAAAGAGTTAGAGCTAAAGAAAAAGAGAGGGTGTCTAGGAAATAGGGACAGAAACATGGGTGAGAGAGAGAAGGAATGAGTAGGGGCTTGGTGTAGGGAACAGAAAAAAAAAAGAGTGGGGAGAGACTGGGAGACTTGCAATATTATTCAGGAGAGAGTAGTAGAGAGAGACAACCAAAAGCGAGACAGAGATACACATACAGGACAGAAAAATGGACGCAGAAGAATCAGAAAGGAAATCAGAGGGGCAGAGAGATGCAAAGACAGAGACTCAGGAGAAGGGCGAAGGGAAAGCAGTGACAGAGAAAGAGGAAGGAGGCAGGTTTAGAGGGGGCTAGTAGAGCTACAGGGAGAGATTAACTGCCTCCGTCATTCATTCATTCCCTGATCCCCCTCCCAGGCTCATCATCAGCAAGCCCGAGCGGAAGCTGATCAAAGGTTCGGGTTTCCACTTGGACCTGCTGCTGATCGTGGGTATGGGCGGGGTGGGCGCCCTGTTTGGGATGCCCTGGCTCAGTGCCACCACTGTGAGGAGCGTGACCCATGCCAATGCCCTCACTGTCATGAGCAAGGCCAGTGCTCCCGGCGATCGGGCTCAAGTCCAAGAGGTTAAGGAGCAAAGGCTCAGCGGACTCCTGGTCTCAGTGCTTGTGGGTGAGCAATATCCCCCGAGGACGGCTTCTCCTAAATTCTGTCTCCTCCTGAACCTTTATTCCCTAATCGCTATCCAATTCCCTGCAGTTCCAACCTAAATACTCTTCCCCCTACCCCCAACATAATTCCACCGATTCAAGAATTCCTGCAGGTTAGCAGCCAGCGTGAAACCATGAAACCGTGGAATTTGCTTTTCTTTGTATCCCCAGCCCTTAGTACGGGCTTAATAACTTCTTGTTGACTAACTGAATTACAGGTCATGAGATCTAGGCTCCAGCTCTGACTCTGCTACTAACTTGCTCAGGCTAATCATTTCCCTTTTCTGGGCTCAGTGTCTTTTTCTGTAAAATCGGGAGGCTGAACTATATAGCAATCAGCAATATATTACATACTATTTAGCATATTACTAAATATTTTATTATACTGTTAAACAAGCATTTAGTAAACATTAAATTATTAAATACAAGATTAAATTATGTTAAAATTTCATATAAAATTTTATTAAAGATCACTAAATAACATTTAGTGTACATATACATATTTAGTAATATATTAACCATTATTATCTAGTTCAACCCCTAACTGATTAATATAGAATGCATTTCATATTCAAAAAGCACTTTACACATATTATCTCACTTAAACCTCACCACCACCTTGTGGGACACCAGGGGGTACTCTGAGTGTCAGAGGCAAGATTCAAACCCAGGTCTTCCTGATTCCAAGGGATGCTAATCACTGCACCAGACTGCTTTTTTGAGTGCTACAGTCCCTCTTGGCTCTTAGATGCTATGCTTCTCTGCTTCTGTCTCATCTGCACTGACTTGGCACTGTAATGGATCCTGAAAGTGTTAGGTGGGGTTCCTTACCTCAAGGAGATTATGAAGACAGAAAGGGCCCACATAAAAAAAAAACAACCAGCTAATTCTATGGGGTAATAAAACTAAAAAGAGAGGTGTAGACAGTGAGGGCTATGATAAACTCAGAGGAGGGAGAAAGCACTGAGGGTGAGGGGGATTAAGGAGCTAGGGGGTAGAGGGGGAGTGATGGGATATCTCTCCCAGCCTCTTTCTCTTCTCCCCTATTTTTCCTCCAAGTCCCAACTCTGTCCGGTTAGCCTGGCTTTACATGGAAAAGCATTAGATAGATCTCTGCCTCAGCCTTCATGCCACCTGGGATTTAGGTACCTGGTTACCCTTCTTCCTCCTCCAGACCCAGGAAGAATCAGTCAGTCAGTCAATCAACAAACATTTGGGAAGCCCATATATTGTGCCAGGCACTAGGGATACAAAGAGAGATAAAAGCTGTCCCTATCTTCAAGAAGCTTACATTCTAATGAGGGATACAACACCGTGCCCATCTAGGTATATACAAGATGTCTACAGGGTAGATGGAAGATAAGTTCAGAGAAGAAAGCATTAGTAGCTGGACATTCCAAGGAAAAGTGGCCTCCAAACTGTCTTGAAGGTGAGCAGGGAAGCTAGGTGATTCAGAGTGTGAGGCCTAGAGTCAAGACTCATCTTCCTGAGTTCAAATCTGGCCTCAGATATGTACCAGCTGTGTGACCCTGGGCAAGTCACTTAACCCTGTTTGCCTCAATTTCCTCATCTATAAAATGCCAAAAAACCCCAAAAGGGGTCACGAAGAGTCAGACACAACTGAAAAATGACTGAACGATAACAACAGGGAAGCTAAAAGGAGGAAGCTAAGAGAGAGGGCATTCCAGGCACAGAGGATAGCCAGTGGAAGTGTGGTAGGTCATATTCAGAGACCTAAATCCATAAATCTGCCCAATCCTCCTGCTCAGCAACTCCCTTCTCCAATTCTCTCGTTCCTCATCAGGTGTGTCCATCTTCATGGAACCCATTCTGTCAAAGATCCCCCTGGCTGTTCTTTTTGGCATTTTCCTATACATGGGAGTCACGTCCCTGAGTGGCATTCAGCTCTTTGACCGAATTCTGCTCCTCCTGAAGCCTCCCAAATACCACCCTGATGTGCCCTATGTCAAGCGGGTATGAAGGGGGAAAGAAGACCGGTGGAGGGGAGGGGGAGGTGTCACGAGGGAAGATACCAAGTGTGTTGGGGGGGAAGATCTCCAGGGCCCTGACTAGGCTGGTCTCTTGCCCCTCAAACCTTCCAGGTGAAGACTTGGCGTATGCACCTGTTCACTTTTATCCAAATCATCTGCCTGGCAGTACTGTGGGTGGTAAAGTCGACACCGGCCTCCCTGGCACTGCCTTTTATCCTCATCCTCACCGTGCCCCTGCGCCGATTCTTGCTGCCCCTTATCTTTGGAAACTTGGAACTCCAATGTGTAAGTGGGACTGTGTGGGTTAGGATGAGGGCTAGTCTCCAAACTTCTTCTATGGCCCAGCTGAGGTAAGGAGAGGAAGGGGAGAAAAGAGTCAGATCAAACTTGTATCAGGAGGTGGGGACTGGGAAAGTAAGAATTTCTGCACTCCTTCCTTCCTAGAGCAGTGTAGCCTATCGGAGAGTATTGGTTTTAGAGTCAAGACATGTGGGTTCAAATCCCACTTCCAGTATTTACCAGCTTTGCACCCTTGGACTCTGTGACCATGGATAAATCATCCTTCTGAATCTCAGTTACTACTGTAAAATGAAGACAATAATTTTTTCACTACCTACCTCAATGAGTCATTGTGAGGAAAACACTTTGCAAAGTACCGTAGACATGTGAGTTATTATTTCTGAGGTTGGATGGAAGAACCAGGCCAGAATTCTCTCCACTATAATTGCTAGAGTGTATTATACACTGTGGGCTATCTTAACAATTTGAGGTTAGATGGGAGGGGATTTGAGAACAGTACCTGAAAGTATGGTAGGGAGGATTGTGACTCAAGCACTCAGCCACTCTCAAGACCCTTTTTTCCCTCTCTCATCTCCTTTGACTCCAGCTTGATGCTGATGATGCTGAGGTCACCTTTGATGAAGAAGAAGGCAGAGATGTGTATGACGAAGTACCCATGCCCGTGTGAGCTGGGAAGATGAAGCTGGATCCAAGATTGCCCCAGACATTCTCCCCTGCTCTCTCAGGGCATGGACATCTCCTTCATTGCCACCGGTGTTAGGGAAGTCCATACCTATTCTGGATGGAAACAGGGGACCCTGCACTGGCAAAGCACTCCCTTTGGGCCCAAGATGACTGCCCATTGCTAGGGTTGGGGAGCTGAAGATACGGGAGGGGGTAAGGAGGAACTGCTAGGGAAAACTATTATTTATAGGTTTGTTTTGCTACTTGTATATTGTGCCCCAAGGAATTAAGAGCGTCAGGGGAATCTCTCTGGCCCTCAGTTTCCCCATCTGTAAAATGAGGGAATTAGACTAAATATCCTCTAAGATTCTTTCCAGCTCTTAGTCCTGGGATTCCTCAATTTGTGTCCCTTTAGCCACACATTCTTACACACACACACACACACACACACACACACACACATCACTGTCATACACACATACACACATGCAGATACACACCTTCTCACACCTTCATACAATCATAAAAACATGGACAATTAAGACTGGAAGGGACCTTAGACAGCATTTCATTCAAATCTCTAATTTTCTAGAGGAAACTGAGACCCAGAGAAAGGTACTTATAGTTAGTTCATGGAAGAACCAGGCCAGAAGCCTGTCTGCTATTATTGCCAGACTCCAATTATACACTGTGGGGCATCTAAACAATCTGCCAGCAGCTGCTGTGTGGCTTGGGACCAGACAGGAGTTGGGTAAGGGGGAAATCTTGGCCTTCCTGCATTCCTGTTTTCCCAGGCCTATGCAACCTGGAAACTTCCTGACTGTCCATCCCATCTGATGAACTTGGTGCTAAAAAGGCTTTGCCCCACATCCGGGGGTGGGAGAGTTGGAAGGAGTGATCAGGGCAAGAATTTAGAATGATTTCACCACTTTCCTGCACACACTCCAGCAAAAAGTTAACTGAGCCTCCTCCAAGTAGCCTCAGTCAATAGGATTTAAGTGTGTGTGTGTACGTGTGTGTGTGTGTGTGTGTGTGTGTGTGTGTGTGTGTGTGTGTTGGGGATGGGGGGGTAGGAGGGAAGAGCGGGGAAAGATTTAGCCTTTGGGAAGAAAGAAAATTTGACTAGGAATAGATGGTCAGAAAGAATAGCAAAGGGGAGGTAGGGTTTGTAATTTATTGTGTATTTCATAAGAAGAGATTTAATCACATTTTAGCTTTAACACCTGGGGAATCAGGGACCTACCTCATTCTCCTCAGCACAAACTTTTGGAAAGACAAAGAATTGGGTGAGGAGAGAGTAGGAATTCCCCCAGGAAGTAGGGAGGGACAAATCTATTTTTTTACAAAACAAAAATATAAAAAGAGTCAGAAGAACCTGTAATTGGGGAGAAGGGCAACTCGGAAGAAAGACACAGTGACCTGGGGATGATGATGATACATTTGGCTTCCATTCCTGGAAGCTGAGCCCTCCTCTTTCCCATCCCCCTTTCCCTGCTACTGCTGGGAAAAGGTGATGAGGGGATTACTCAAAGAAAACAACGATCAAAAAAACATCCTCTCCCATTGCTTGTAAATTTGTTTTGCCAATAAATCCATTTTTTACTGCCTCTGAAGAATGCCCACCCCAGGTTCTTAGGGCATGGACACCAATGCAGACAGCACTGGCTGCCTGGGACATGGTGCTGAGGTCAGACTCTGCTTCTGGTGTTGGGGAAGGCCTACAGCAGATGTCTAAGGACACCCCCCCCCCTTGAAATGGGGGAGAGTGATGAAAGGAGCCAGAACAGAGATGGAAATGGGACCCAGATGAAAGAAGCCAGGATGTAACTAACACCACGGTGTCTCCAGCTTCAACGCTCTAATCCCTTTTTAACCAGGCTCCTCTTTTTCCTTAAACCAGGTTTCAGAGAATTGGAAAGCTAGGCAGGGCATTAAAAACCCATAGTCTAGTCTATCTCTTCCATTTTACAGAGAGGGAAACCGAGATCCAAACCAGGGAAACGGCCAGCAGGGCATTGTCGAAGCTGGGACTCGAACCCTTGTCTCTTGACTCTTGGCCCAGGATTCTTTCCAGTATTCTGTGTCATGCCTCTGTGGATTCTAAACAGGAGATGTGTCTATATAGCTCTGGCTAGCAAACTGGATTCTCAAGAGCGGCTAGACGGTGGGTCGTCCTGTTCTCCTGAATGAGGCAGCAGGGACACCAGTTCGATGTCCTCCGCACTCAGCCCTCCTTCCCCCTGCACCAACCCTCCCCTCCCTTCCTGCAGAAAGAACCCAGGACAAGGCTGTGGCTGCCTGGCTTCCTTTCCTCCCATCTATATTTACCAGCTGTTTTTGTCCCCAACTGACCCCTCCCTAGCTAGGGCTGTCTGCCAAGGGGTCTGGGAGAGCCAGATGCAGCTTGCAAGACTGTAGCTCCCTTGGCTTCTTCCCTTTCCCTCTACCCCTGCAGCTGCTCCTTCCCATCTGGACCTGCCTTTGGCCCCCTGCCCCACCAGGGTCAGACACTTAGTTATGACTCCATCAAGCTCTGCCAGGCTAGACTGCAGAGTGTCTAGCAAGGGCTTAACTCACTTTGGTTCCCTTCCCCCTCCCCCATTGCTTCTTCTATCTGGACCTCAGTTTCCTTATCTATAATATAAGAGAATTAGAATAGACAATTTCTAAGGTTTCTTGTATTTCTAAGATTCTATGAGTCCATGAGAGTGGGCAGATGCCCTCAAGGATCAGGCCCTATGGGCACCTAGGGAGGGCAGGCAGGTGACTTCCCTGGGAAAGGAACTCCCCACCCCCTCCACCCCTTCCCAGTTCTTCTACCCAAAGCCCTATTACAAAGCAGAACAAAACAGGAATTCTGAATTTCATGGGCTTCAGGCCTTCCTTCAGAAAAAGAAGGGGATGATTTAATCCTTGATGCTTGTTTAGACAAATTGTTTAACCTCTGTGGGACCCATTTTCTTCATTTGTAACAAAAAAAGGTTGAACACCTCAACAATTCTTAGCCTTTTTTTGTATCATGGACCCCTGTGGCAGCCTGGTGAAATGTATGGCCCCCTTCTCAGAAAAATGTTGGCAAATGCATAAAATAAAATGTGTAGGATTCCAAAAGGAAACCAAAGATATTGAAAAATAGCTATCAAAAATGAAAAATTCACAAACTCCTGCTTAAGAACCCCTCATAGATTATTTCTAAGGTCTTTCCCAACCTTAAATTCAGGTCGGTGAAACAGATATTCACTATGAGTAGGGAAAAAAAGCCCATCCTTTCCCAACCTGGGAGAAACTCATTTTATGTTTCCTTGTAACTTAAAGATGGGCTCCCTGTCTTTGCCTGATGAGAGCGAGATAAAAGAGATCTCTTCAAACATTTATAAGGCTGTCTATAGAAGAGGACCCAAAAGGCATAGCCAGGAGTAGTGGGGATGTAGGGGGTGATGAGGGTAAAGCTGAAAGGGAGGCTAGACCCTTAGGTGTCTCCCTGAACCATTGGCCCAGAGCACAAACCCCCCAAAAAGCAAGAAATACAGGGTGGAAGAGGGAAGGGGGAGCACTATATGACTTTCACCTACTTTTCAAGCTTTGGCTCTTACCATCTCAACTACCCTCCCCTATAACCAGATTGGAATATTTGCTATCCCTGGTACAAACCCCTTACTTTCTTACCTTAACTGACATTCTTTTTCTTGGGATGTCTTCCCCCCCATCCGTGCCTGGCAAATTCTTACCCACCCTTTCAGGGTCATGTAGCAAGGTACTGGTTTAAGAACACTTTCTCTGACTGGGGAGTCACAAGACTTGTATTCAAATCCTGCCTCTAACATTGACTGTCTGTGTGACTGTGGGCAAGTCACTTAGCTTCCCTGGGCTTCAGATTCTTCATCTGTAAAATGAGGTATTTGGATCAGATGGCCTCCAAGGGCCTTTTTAGCTGCTCTAGTCCCTGGCTTCCTTTAAGCCCCAGCTAAAATCTCACCTTCCCCAACATCCTTTAATTCCAGTACCTTCCCGCTTTTAATTATTTCCTATTTGTCCTTTATAGCTCATCTTGTATATGTATATGTATGTGTGTGTGTGTGTGTGTATATATATATATATATATATATATATATATATACATTTACAATATTTGCATGTTGTCTCCTCCATTAAATTGTAAGCTCCTTGAGGGCAGAGACTGTCCTTTGCCTCTTTTTATATCCCCAGTGCTAAGCACAGTAGGGGCTTAGTAAATGTTGACTGATTGAAAGTCCTACAAGTAGAATTCTTCGCAATAGAATGTAGGGGCAGAAACTTTTATTTTTGTGCGAGGGTTGTCCCCAACATGTAGCATGGGGGTGTCATTGTGTGGCTTAGAAGGAAGTAGAATAGACATCTTTAGCATCTCCTCCCCTGACCTTGCTCCAGGAGACACTAATTCCTGCCCGAAGGGGAAGCAGGAGGTTTAGCAGGAACTAAAAGGTACTCTGTTCTCTCCAGAGAGAGGAATTACCAGGCTAGAATTTTATCTACCTGCTCCCTTAAATAGTCTAGGAGATGTGATTTTCAAGTTCAATCTAACTTCTGATCACTGTTTCTTAATGGGGAAGCAGAACCCCACGATTTACAAGCAAAGTTTGATTCCACTCTCACTGAATTCCAGTTCCATAACGAATAAACATAGCATTTACCAAAGAGCCCTATTTATCCCCTTGGACAGCAAAACAGAAGTCAGAAAAAGTGTGCGTAGGAAAACGTATACCAGACAGCAGAGAACAACAAGCTCTCCCATTGGGAGCAAGGTAACTCAACTGAACTGAAAGGCAGCGTCCTGGATCTCATCCAAGGCAAAACTCCCCAAAGTCTCTAGGGTAGCAAGCTGGGGACAGGGCCATGATGGAGACTGCCAGCTCCTCTCATGTCAGCTTCTTCCCAGAGTCTTTCCTTCAGTAACCTGAAGTGGGGTTGGCAATCTTCCATCTTCTGTCTCAAACCTGGAAGCCAGAAGTGCCCAAAAGAAAAGAAAAAAAAAAGGAATGAAGAGCTCTTGCCAATTCTGCCCAACCCCTCACTCAAGCTTGGAGCATTAGTCTCTACCAGTAAGGAAAAAGTCCCATACCAACGGCCTTTGAGACTGGGGTTACATTTTCACTTGTATTCCAGTGCCTTCCACATTGCCTGATAAGTGTTTATTGAATTGAACTGGAGTACTACCTCCTCCATGGATTGACCAACTGAAAGTGATGGCTTCTCTTCCTGAATCTCTCACCCTGAGGTCTGATTTCTCCCATGTACTTATCACAGTCTAGCTGGAAGAATAGCTGGCTGCTTGTACACATGTCTTATCTCCCTACAAGACTGAGGGCAACAATTACGCCTTTCTTGCCTTTCATCTTTGTATCCCATTCTATCATGCCTAGTGTTGCACTCAACTCAATGAACGTGTATTAAGGTCTAATAAATGTTTGCTGAATTGAATTGTTTAATCACCAAAATGGGCCTCAGGAATGAATGCTCATATGGAATCACCAAATCTGAGGGTTAGAAGGGACCCCAAAGACCACTTTGTCTAACCCCTACCTGGATAGGTTTCTTCTCTGAAGCATCCTCGGCAAGCAGCCTTTCAATTCTGCCTGAAGTTATCCAGGGATAGGAAGCCTACTCCCTCCTGCGACAGCCCATTTTATTGGTAGATAGCTCTAATTATTAGCTAGTTTTACCTCATGCCTAGTGAAAAATTGCTTCCCTGAAATGTGCAATGATTGCCCCCTAGTTCTGCTCTTTGGGGCCAAGAAATACATATCTAGGCCCCAAGGAAGCAAGCATTTATTAAGCACTTACTATGTGCCAGTCACTATGTTAAGCACTGAGAATACAAATATAAGCAATAGGAAAGACAGTCCCTGCACTCAAGGAGCTTGTATTCTTATGGGAGAGGATAACATACGAAATGGAGGTAGGGGAGAGGAAAAGTACCCTAAGTGAGGGGCCTAGTGTCAAAGTCCAGAAAGCCAGGAGGGGAATAAAGGTGGGCCAAGATGAGCTTTCTCCAAAATGGAGGTCCTGGGAGGAACTTGTCAATGGGAAGATGAGGCAGGCAAGATGGAGGGATGTTCCAAGGGGAGGAGACCCCAGTCACTGAAGGAAGTTCCAGGGTGAGATGGCAACTGAGGCATGGTACAAAGTCTGGGGCAACTAGATGGTGCAGTGGATAGAGTCAGGAATTAAAATCCGGCCTCAGACACTTACTAGCTGTGTGACCCTGGGCAAGTCACTTTACCCTGTTTGCCTGAGTTTCCTCATCTGTAAAATGAGCTGGAGAAGGAAATGGCAAATCACTCCAGTATCTTTGCCAAGAAAACCTCAAAAGGAGTCACAAAGAGTCAAACACAACTGAAAAAACTCAACAACAACAAAGTAAAGTCTAGAAAGTCAGACGCCAGCCTCTTCCACATGAATGATGTGGTGTCTCCACTAAATTATCTCTTCTCCACTCTAAATATCCCTACTATTCCTTCAGAGGCAGCTGGTGGTGCAGTGGCTAGAGTGCTGGGCCTGGAGTCAGGAAGGCCTGAGTAAAATATTGCCTCAGACACTTACTAGCAGTATGGCCCTGGGTAAGTCACCTAACTTC